ATATATATTTTTTAATTTCTAGCCATTTTTCTTACATATTTTAAAAATAATTTATTAAAATTTTACGTTAGCAACTTAATTATTTACATTATAATAATTTATTTTCATGATTGTTCTTACCTTTAATTACATTTAGAATTGCAATAGCTATTTCTTACTGTGTTATGACACTTTTTTTAGTTTTACACCAAATGATACTCATTTTACATTACCTATTTGTATTTTAATTTTTTTCTATTTTCTTTATATATTTAAAAATATTAATTAGTTAAAATTTTACGTTGTCAAAATAATTATTTATGTTATAATAATTTTTTACGAATGTTCTTACCTTCTAGTATATTTAGAATAGTTATAACTTTTTTTTGGTGTTACAAACTTTTTACTCATTTTACATAAAATGATACTAATTTTATATTTCTTCACACTTGTTTACTTTATCGATTTATTTTTTAATTTATAGTCATTTTCTTTGTATATACAAAAAAAAAATTAATTAAAATTTTATATTACTATCATATTATTTATGTTACAATAATATATTTTTATGTTTATGCTTACTTTTCGATATATTTAGAATTGTCTTAATTTTTTCTTAGTGTGTTATAATATTTCTTACTTATTTTACGCCAAATGATATGAATGTTATGTTTCTTCTTATCTATTCATGTTATCTATATTTTTTATTTATTAGATATTTTTCTTATATATTTATAGAAATAATTAATTAAAATTTTATGTTGTTATCATAGTTATTTACATTTCAATGATATTTTTTTACAGTTATTCTTATATTTCATTAAGTTTAGAATTATCTTAATTCTTTCTAGGGTGTCATAATACTTTTAATATATTTTATACTAAATAATACAAATTTTACGATTCCTCTCACATGTTTATGTTAATAATTTTCTTATTTATTCTTTTCTAAAATATCATTTTTTTTAAATTAATTTTTATTCTTGGATGTCTTTTTAACTATTTTCTTATATATATGTAACAAATTAATTAATTTAAATTTTATATTGTTAACATAATTATTTACGTTAAAATAATTATTCTATCATTTCTTCTTATATTCAATTATGTTTAAAATTATCATAACTCTTTTTTAGCATGTTAAGACACCTCTATCCCATTTTTCATAAATTGATATAAATTTGATTATTTCTCTCATTTGATTATGTTTATAATTTTTTATTTTTATTTTAAGATATAAATTCTTTTAAGTTAATGATAACTTTATTTTATAGAATTATTTCTAGTGCTTTTATGGTTGATTTTTGCTTAGTTCTTAGCAAAATAAAGTTCTTTTTATTCCTCAATGGTTGAATTTTCTATTTTATAAGTTTTCTTGAAGAAAATAATGATTCTTGATAATTCTTGAAGATTCTTAAAGTTCTTTGATGATTCTTGGATGATTCTTGATCATATTATGGACAATTGAGATGTTCTTGGAAATTCCTGATTTTCTTGAAAATCTTGAAATTCAAAAATGGGAAAGATGTTCAAGATTGGCTTTGGCAAGTGTAATGGAGTTGAAAGTGATGAATCTTGAAGAAAGAAGATGAAAATTCATGCAAAAACTCAAGTTGGAATTTCGGTAAAGAATAAGGGGAGAATTGTACTTTCACATGATTGCAAGTCCATGGTAGTTTGTGTAGGTGTACATGCATGGGATTACTATGGGATGACATGGCATTTTAAAAGTTTTCTTATTGGTTAAGGAAGATGATGTGGCATGATGAAGTAGCAATTCTATTTTCTTTTCCTATTTGGAGTTGGATTTCTTTTCTTAGTGGTGAAGTATTCCTAATTTTACTTGGAGTAGGATTTTGCATAGGTTATAAATACAACTTATATGTGCATTCAGGAATTTTTTTAGATGAAGTTAATTTTTTATTTTTCTTTAAGAAACCAAGTCAAGGCATGGAAAAGAAGATGAAGATCAAGATGGAAGGATTTGAAGTAACTTTTTGGAAGCTAAATATAGTTAGGCCGAAAATGTACTTTCTTAATTTGGCAAGATTCTATTTTTGGTAAGTTTATGTATGGTATGAGTTGCTACATGATAAGTTATGATATGGTAAATATCTAGAAGCCAAGTATGGTCTAGAAGCTTTCTTTTTATGAGTCTTTATTGAAGAAGCATTTTGGGATTAAAGAAACCAAGTCCAACCAAAATTATGTGAAGTTTTCTTGGAATTCCATATTTAGCCAAACACCCAAGGGGAATTTTAGGCCTATAAATACATGATTTAAATGTTAGAAAAATGGTGTACAAGGGTTAGGGTGATAGACCAATCTATAACTTTCTTGTTTTTAGTTTTTTTTAGCATTTAAACATTCGAATTTTAAATTTCTTGTTCGTTTAGTTTTATGCTTTTTCAATTTAGTTTATGCACATTATTTTAAGTTTACTTCAATTGAATTCTGGTTTAAAGCTTTCTTTCGATTATGTTTTACTTAGTTTTTATGCAAATTGGTTTAAAAAATGTTAGTTGCAATCAGTTTGGAGTTGAATCTTTATAATTTGCGATTCTATCTTTAAGTCTTGTTTAATTAATGCTATTTTATGTTTTGTTTTGTTTAAGTTTATCCAATTACATGTTTAAGTCATCTCTAAGCATTCAGTTTACATTGTTAGGGTTAGATTTAAGTTTAATTATCACATGCTTATACGTTTGCATGATTTAAGGTTAAATTGATATAATTACAATTTAGGTGTAGTTGTTTTTATTTCAATTATTTCTGATTTCATTTTTAGGGTAATAATTAATTAATTCTTCATTTAATTCATCTTGTTTCAATTTAGTTTAGTACTTATTGATTATGCATGAATTGCATTTGATTAGGGTTTATATCATTTGGGTTTTTGCATATTGAGTTGATTTAATTTCAGTTTAATTTTAATGTGATTTAATTGCATGTTATTTAATTAAAATAAAGTTACTTGCATGATTTATAGCTAATTAAGGTTTCCATTTACATGGTTTGCATGTTAGTTCATTAGGGTTTATATTTGGCATCACATATTTGATTCTTATAAGTTTTTGTTTTGGTTCTTTTGATTAGTATTGCTTATTTTCTTGCATTATTACTTTCGATTTATGCTATTTATAGTTAATTGAATTCCGATTATGGTATTTAGCTTTAATTGAATTTGATCCTTATTTATTTATAGTTTGATTAGTTTATTTTGGTATTGATTCATAGTATTGCATGTTTTTATGTTTTTATTTGAATAGTTTTCATATCTTTTAATTGATTTTTCTAATAATAGGTTTAAAGGCATACAATTTTGGTGCTTAATCAATTTTTTATTTTTCAATCCTCATAGGAATGATAGTTTACTTACTCTATATTACTTGTCATATCTGTATACTTGCAGATCATCGATTAAATTTTTTGTGTCATTGCCAGGGATTGTTAGAGCAGTTTTAATATCGATACCAATCACTCTTCTTATAGCTTGGATGTTTATTTTTTTATATTAATTTATTTTTTTTATGTCAGAATTCTTTTCATATGAGGCTAGGAACCATGGGAACTATATGACACCCTTTTTGGAGAATTCCCAAGCTCAATGGCCATCTAATTGCTCTAGCTTTGATACCCTTAAATCTCTAGCTTCACACAATCAATATTATGTTTTTATTTTGAAGTAATTTCACTAACATGAAATAAAATGAAAAATAAAAAACTATTACATAAAGTGAAAATTATTTAAATCATGTATATGATTTTATAAATTTTGTTTTACAATCTCATTACTTGCAAAGTAGGTTGTATCTTTCTCTATTTTAAAATTTAATCAATGATTAATATTTAATTATATAAATCTAATTATTATTATTTGTTAACCTTATTATAAGACTAAAAAACTTAAACTTGTTATAGAAGTCCTCTAATTTTAAGTTAATTTATCAGTCATATCAATATTTTATTCCACGTCACCGTTTCTTTCTTCTTTCACTAGTTTCTTTCATGATAAAATTATGAAGAAAATAATGAAGAATAAAGTTTAAAATTATAAAGAAAATCATTTTATTCCATGTAAGCAATTAACCCCCTTGTTTCGCCACTGATTAGGATAATAAAATTAGTTGCGTATGAGATTAGAATCACAACATGATTTTATTCTCTTAATTGCATGCCCACCGTCGATATTTACAATGTCTTGACATGAATGGAATGGCTCGCATAAACTCTAAGTAAATGTCCATATCATTTTAAGGTGTTTATAATTTGATTTTAACTGAATTAATTGACTAAATTGATTAATTTTGATTAATCGATTGATCATTAAATTAATTTTTGTTGATTAATAAAAATGATTTAAAAAATTTTAATTTTCAATTAATTTGATTCAAAAATCAAATTAACAAAAAATTTAATTAAAATATAATTAAATCCAAATATAAAATAAAAAATATTTGAAATGGATCATTTTATTTCATAAGTTATTAGAATGTTTAACATGAAACTTTGATATTTAAATATTTTATTGGATAATTTGATTTAATTTGTTTAAAATATAAGAAATTAAGAGTTTAAAATATAATTTAATTTAATTGTATTTATTATTTGGTCATTCAAAAAAATTAACTGAACTGATCAAATTAAATTTGATTGATTAATTTTTAAAATTAATAAATTTGATTTTATTAATGAAAATAAAATAATTTAACTTAATTAATTTAATTTTGAATAATTTAATTTAAAATTAACCGAATTGGATCCAATAACAATTCTAACGTCACAAATTTCATTTCTCTTTAGTCCTTACACACGAAATGCCATTTTTCTGTTTCTTTTTTTTCAAGGAAATGCACCCCAATCCTTATGAAAGAGTACTATTTTGGAGTTTGACTTCTTTTAATCCCATAAATGATCCGACTAGCATCATGCCAAGGTTTCTCTACAATATTAACTTGACAAATACCAGGGAAGCAAATATATTTTCAAACGGTAGAAATAAGAGTTTCCTTTCATTTTCCTCATCTGGTAAAGTAAGTACGAGGCGAGAATAGTCGGCGCGGAGAGAACATCCCCATGTAGCGAGGTGAAGCTAGACCGTCGATGGACCTATATTCTGACATGATGAACCTCTCTCTCTCCCCAAGACCTGCGCCTCTCATCATGTGCCCACTGAAGGTCCCATATTTCACCAACTTCCCCACCCATGATTTCTTCTTTTGGGGGCTTTTGTGCCTTGCATTCATTTTCTCTCTCAGGTACTCCTTAACCGCATGCAAGCTCTGCTCAAACATCTCCATCGGTGGCGAAACCAGGGGGTTCCCTTCCACGCAAAGCTTCTGGAGTTTCTTCATGCATCCGATGGAATCAGGCAATCTTTTTATTTTGTTGTAACTAATGTCCAATTCCACAAGGGAAACGAGGAGGCCTAAGGAGCATGGTAGGTTTTCAAGGTAGTGGAAGTTTTGGCTTAGGTTGAGAACCTCTAAGTTGATTAACTTCTCCATGTCCTCTGGCAGAGACCTGAGGCAATTAAGGCGTGCATCGAGAACTCGTAGGGAAGCCAGGTGAGTGATGGATTGAGGGAGGAAAATCAACTTGTTTGAGTTGACTGACAGTTTTTTCAGGTTGACCAACTCAAATCCAATAGTGTCTGGCAGCATTGTAAGCTTGTTGAAATTAGCATTCAATTCTGCCAATGACCTGCCAAACGCAAGACATGTTAATTTCCAGCTTGAAACTAGTTCCAATGTATCATACAGCATGCAGGTTTTACATTCATATTCACAAAAATTGTAAGATTCTCAAAAAAATTAGGTTATGTCTGTATGAATGGTGTGATGTATTATGGAGCCCTCCCACTACACTATACACCCAAATCAGCAATCTTTTCTCATTGAAAAAGCCTCATCCGATGAAAAAAAGGGATGACTGGGTGCAGTGTAGTGGAAGCCCTCACCATGGCACTGTATTATATACTGCCCCATATGTTCAAACATAAGTTAATATATGCATATGATCTAAATGAAGTAATAATAGGACAAGTGCAAATAGTTTATTTTTGGTAATTAATCCTATTTGTATACTAGCTAGGTAAAAATTAATACAAACCTGCAATTTTCAATAGTTTTAGGTAGAGTGTGGAGAAGGTTGCCAGAAACGTTGAGAATTTTGAGCTTAGACAGACAACCTATTGAGTAGGGGAGAAACTTGAGTTGATTGGAGTGCACATCGAATGCCACCAAATTCAGTAACCTTGCGGTTAGGGACTCTGGTATGCTCTGTCAAATTAAATTAATTAATTTAAATGAATTATTAGGAAAATATTATATACACTCATCTAATACACTTATTTTACATATTTACATATACAATATATAAGTTTTCAAAATTCTATTTTAGTTCATAAAAATTTTAGTACTTTTTAGTTAAATTTCTAGAATAAGAAATGAATGTGTCAAATGAGTGTATGAAGTAAATATAAATTTTTTTATTTCATTCAACTCAAAGACTTACCATATTATTGTCTTAATTAATTTAAAGAGTAATTATAGTATAGTATTACGTTGAATTAATCAGCCAGACTTTATTTATTTATTTTTTTTTGTACATACATAAGCTGAAGTATTACGTTATCATTTTCGTTTGTCTTGAGTGATGAGAGGAAAAGCAAGGGACATGGTATTTAGCATATGAAGAATATATACATACATAAATACATAAGCTGAAACGATACCTCAAGATTATTGTTGGAGAGGTCTAACTTGCAAATAGTAGACAAATTTAGAGATGGATTTGGAAGGGAATCCAATGACATCCCACTCAAGTTTACAATCTCTAGCCTTTCTTCCTCTATATATCTTCCCCTACCATTTCCCTGCTTCTTGCTCAAATCCATTCTCACTTGTCGCTGATCGTACATTATTTTAATTGGTAAAACTAATCCCTAAAATCACCCAAACGAGAGAAAATAAAAAGTGAATTTGCTTTTGATGAAATGGTTGTTTGTTTGGTTATTGGCCGTTAATTGGCTATATATAAAAAGGGGACGTAAGTAGAAGGACGCATGGAGGGAGGAACAGTGAGGTAGAAAGAACAGAAAATTAGAACAAGAGATGATACTTGTCCAAAGACTGAAGAAAGAGAAAGAAGAAAAGGTACACAGCGCCTTATGATTCGGGAGTTGCCTGGCCATGTCTCAACGCCCTTCGCCCTGCCCTTTTATTTTTCTTCGGATCCCCACGAATCCCGCTCTCCTTTTTTATTGTACACTCTTTAGACTAAATCCAGTTCCCATTTCCTTTATTATTTCTTACCTTGTGATGCGCATATTATTTTTATTTATTTAAATATATAAAATTATATAAATTAAAATTATTTAATCATTTACATATAATTAAAATATCGAATAATAATAAACTTAAAATTTTTAAATAAAAAATTTTAAATAAATAATATTTGAGAAAGAATAAAAGATCTTAAAAATATTACAAATAGCATTATTGAATACACTAATAAAATGTTAAAATAAGAACTTAAAGTTTCACAATTTTAAATTAACTTTTTTCAATTTGCATCATCTTCATTTTTTATGACCTTTTTTTATACATTTACAAATTTATATAACTTAAATTAGTAAAATATAATATTGAATTAAATTTTAAAATTTATTTTTTAAAAAACATTGAAATTCATAATTTATACTTTATTTTTTATTAAAAATAATGGTTCAAATTGAGTTCGTTTGACAACAAAAAAAAAAACTAATAAGGAACAAATATATTGGGACAAAATAAGTATTATAAGATTTGTATATATATGTAATAATATTTTTATCATAAATAAACTTTTCAAAGAATTAAAATATTAGATCTTATCATAATGATTTTTTTTATATTTAATATCTATCAGAGTAATTACTTCGTAATAAACAATGATTTTATTGTACCAAACTGCCCATGTAAGAATTAAAATTGAAATAAATATTATTTTAAATGTAATTAAACAAAAAGCTGAAATAACATAATTTGGTTACAATACACCTTGACTTGATTTGAAAAAAAAAAGGGTTAATTATGAAAGGACGGTAGGAGATCTATGGATAAAATGAGTATAAAATAAGAATATTAATATCGTACCAAATAATAATTTTTTTAAATAATAATGTCGATATAAATTATTTCGATATTTTATTTGAGTTTTTTTTTAGTATAAATATATTTATAAATGTACCTAAACTCTTTATAATAATACTATTAATAATATGTAAAATAAATATATAATATCAAATAAATAAGTTTAAAAGTATAAGAAATGATATTATCAATTTATCGTGATATTTTTACACTTAATTTGATCACATTATATTTCAATAGATATTATTATGTAAGAATATATTAAGATAAAAATAAAAAGATGAAAAAGAAAATAACATTGCCTTTAAGAGTCGTAAATCTTAAAGAGGGACCATATTTGCTTTTTTTAAAAGATTGAAATAGATATAAATAAAATCTTGGTTTTGAAAAATTAAATGTAAAAAAAAAAGAATTGATCTAAAAAATATAGAAATGTGGCTCAAGTTTCAACTTTTAAGGATTTTATTTTATTCTTTAATTTTTATTAAATTAAAAAAGTAAAACAAAAAAAAAATCATAAAATTACAAAATACAAATTATGTTTCACAGTCACATATTGGCCAAAAATGATTAATTCAACAAAATTCATCAAAACTAGTTTAAATAAAAAAATAACTGATTTTATTCGATACCAAATTAGATACAAAAAATTATTGTTAAGTGTATCGTATTTTAATACAATTAAAGTGTGTAAGCCAATATCATTAATACAGAAATGAGTTTAACTTGGTATAAAACCAAGACTTTTATTCAATGTATAGTTTGTAGAATGTACATTTTATTTAACGCAATAAACACAACCAATAAAAAAAATACGTAAAAAATTTGAAATTTAATGTATTCAACATGCAAACATTTTTTTTGTTGGTATATGTATAGCTATTCATACAATTACAAACAACAAAGGAAAATTTTCTAAATAATATTTGTTGATGGTGTTTTTATGGTGCCTTAGTTAGAAGGAGAGAGATGAGGTTGAAGGGAAGGACTACTTGAACATGCAGTCAATGAACACTGTCAAGGGATGTCAGATTTATTGCTTCAGGACGTACTTCAACACTCAAATTAGTCAGATGCCTAAGGTTAGGTAAAGGAAGGAAGAAAGGAAGGAATGGGATAAAAATGGTGAAATATGTGAAGAAAGCTTCAATGGAGGGAAGCTTAGAATATGTAGTAGGGTTAGGTATTCTTCTTACGTACTTGGTTTTCTTATTACCTTATACATGAGATCAAGAGGCAGTGACCTAATTGAGATAGTTGACAATTGATAGGATATTTTCGTAGAGCTTGAGAAAGGTCTACGTAGGTAGATGTGAGTCATATTTAATGATTTCAGGTAGGCGTGAGCTACATTTAATGGTCTCAAGCAAGTTAAATGACAATTAGTCAGTTTTGAAGTGATTGTCTTGACAAGTTGTCAATGGAACTTTGGGCGAATCCTTTCTTTGGTGAAAAGTGAGAAATTTCCTTAAAAGCAGATGATGTGATGCTCTAGATGTGCCTTGTATGGGTGACCCAAGGATCTTAACTATGTTAACCAAGCCTTAATCGAGTTGACCATTGACTAATCGACTTAGGTGTAACAATATTAATAAATAGTGCATAACATTACATGTAAATAAATAATGATTTTCATACATTCATTGTGTTAGAAGGATCCAACCATAATGGGTGGTTGGACTAAAATCAAATATGTGTTGTAACTACTATAAGGTAGTTATATATATCTTGCTTTGAACTAAGAAACTGTCATTATTGACAAAAAAAAAAAATTTACCATGAGTACTAAAAAATATAGATTTGAATTTAAATGCCACATTCTTTTCCCTACAAATAAATAGCATTCAACCATTATGTGAGATGCTTAAAATTAAAATGAATAAGATAGATGCAAAGAAAGGCAGAGAAAAGTTAGGAAAAGAAATATGAAATTCTTTGTGAACTCTTAATGAACTCTTTGCATTCAAAGTGAAGATTTATATTGTGGATAACAAATAATTTCTGCATGGTGATTTTGTTTTTAACAAGTGAATTAAGTCAACAATGTTTTGCTATATTGTTAGTTTTAATTCCACAATTGATATTGATTATATTGTCAATTATACACATCCACTCATTAATACATATCAAAGCTATATAGCTTTATTCCTAGTTCATTTCAAGAACTTTTCTTGAAACATAAAAGCTTTGACATGTTTTTAACTTCTTATCAAAAAAACTCTTGAAAATCTCTGAAGAATTATGCAAAGTGTGTGATTTTGTTATTAAAAGTTGTTATATATGGATGAATAAAGACATCCTAATGTAAGTTGCCATTACCATTTGAAACATTTGGATCGAGTTTTCATTTTCCAAAATAAGGCACTTGAATTTTCGATATAAGGCATTTGATTGTCTTATTTTAAAATTTAACAGCAAAATTTTATCGGGCAATCCATTACACATAAAAAATTTTGAAAAAAAGAAAAACAAAATGCATTTGTAACTTCACATTCAACTATCCTTTTTAGGGCATTTAACTACCTTACCTAATTTTTTAAACAGATTGAAAAATAATTAAGCAAATCGATTATCCTATAACATTCTTTTTAAAAAAATGAGAAATTTTCATAATTTTGATTATTTTAGATTAACTTCGGGAATATATATAGCATAAAAATGATTAAAATTTATTTTTTAACCATTACGAGACTTGTGTTAATTATGTGTTCATGAGATTTTTGTATTTGTTACAGAAAATCATGACAGTAATCGTTAGGATTCCTATTGGTATTATAAAAAAAAAAAAAACAAAGAAGAAATTTGCAAAACCAAAAAGAAATGATAAAGGAAAGTTGCTAAGAAAAAGAAAAAATGTTAATATTTTGCTAAATCAAGTGGGTTTGGGACTGCGCCTTGGAATGGGTATATGTAGACACTATATTCCAATATAAAAATACTAGACATTGTTTAGAATAAACTAACCAACTATTGACCCTTAATAGGACATTACATCCTAAGAATACTCAAAAAACTAACAAAACCCAAAGTTAAAAAAAAAAAAAAGGGTACAAAAGCTATCCTAAAAACACTCTAAGACTTTTGAGTTAGTTTGGAAGATTATTGAAATAAAGTAATGATAAAATAATTTCTAATATGCACTAATTTTAACACTCCCCCTTAATGCATGCTTACCATCAATAACTCTAAGTACAGCTTAAAAGATTTCACACTTTGACTTTGCTAAAGCTTTTCTGAAAATATTTGCAACTTGCTTGTTTGTTTCAACACCTTTTTACTCTATCCCTTGGCTTAACATTTTTTCTTTGATAAACTAATGATGAACTTCAATATACTTTGCCCTTGCATGAAATATTGGATTTGAAGCATGTTTGATAGCACCTTTATTATCACAATAAATCTACACCACATAGTCAGCTTCAAAAAATATATATACCACTATACATTTAAGCTAAATACACTCTTGTGTAGCCATGGTTGCTATTGTATATTTTGCTTCAATGCTTGATAAAGTAACTACTGATTGTTTTTACTACACCAAAAGATTACAGCTAAACCAACATTTGAGCAATAGCCCAAGGTTGATCAACGATCATTAACATTCCTAACCCATTCTATGTCAGTATAGCCACTTAAGAGAAGTTATCTAGTTTTCTTGTACATAAAACCGTAATTAAGAGATCCTTTGACATAGTGTAGGATTCTTTTACTAGCACCTAAATGGGGAACTTTAGGATCCTACATAAACTGAGATGTAACACTAACTGAATATGTAATAATAAGTCTTGTAATAGTTAAGTAGATCAAGCTCCCAACAAGTTGTAAAAACTTTCTTGA